AACTACGAGTACTTTGGTTCCAAGATAAATGATACGTAGGCAACTTAATTAGCATATTGTAAGTTACAATATTGTTTTTTTAACCCAAAAATTTTTTCAACTTAATTTTTAACTTATAATATATCAACTAAGTCCAAGTCAAATTTTATTATTATTTTGTTTTTCGAATCGGCCGACCCGACCTGAAACCGGCCCAGCCCACTGGGTCATCGTCCCAACACTTACCTAGGTAAGGCCTGTCGAGCTGGGTCGGGCCTGGGGCCGGCCCCGGATTACGCCATGTCTATATATATATATGTATACAATGTTGAAACCGCCCGGCTGAGTTGCCAACCCCAAAGTACTTCTGCAACACAAATTTGAGATACTTTAAACATGCATACACCTCAATATATGTTCTCAAATCAGCTATATAGAGGAAAGCCCAAGTGACAGGAATATGACATATCAAAATTAGACAACCTAATTAATTTGACAAGCTCATCAGTCTCAACAAATTGAAATCCATCAAAATTACTCCAAAAGTTCATATCAATGCGACCTTAACAACTTCACATTCATTTCTATCCAAAAGAAAACCAAACGATTTACTATTTACAGTAATACTAAGGAGCCAACTGTTGGCTCCTTAGCATTATTGTTACTATTTATATTAATAAATCTGAAATCCTATTGCATACATAAGATCCATGAATATTACATCAATCACTCATCACAACAAATCCAAAATAATAATGTACAAAGAGGAAACATACATGGATATATAAATTAGAAGGGTGACCATCTTAAGAGAACTCTATACTTGTTCACGAGGAAAAGCAAATTGACATAAACTAGAAATGAAAACAGAACAAAAATTAAAAATAATCAAGAAATCTGTTAAAAATAAGGGGTTTAACTAGAGGTGATGACAGAAGAGTAGAGAGCACAAAAGAGTGAGATGCAAACTCTATGCATTTCATCGTCTGTGCTCTCTCTCTTCTGTCAACAACCCCACACCTCTAACCACCAATTAATATGAAAAAATTTAAACAAACAAATAAATAATAATGATACTTCCCATCCAATAGATCATCAATAACAAATATAAAGATTAATTTGGTATATTATATA